TAGGGATGGGCATTCCAATCAAAAATTATATTCAAAAATCGCTGGGTATTATTCGATTATTATTCGAGAATTGCACCCCTCTCCCGCATGCACGCACAAACACCCATAAACAGAGAGAGAGGGAGAGAGATTGCTAGAAGATAGAAGATAAGGCTAGATAGGCTACTTTTAGAAGATAGGCTACCTTAACTCAAGCCATATAGTGATTGTAATGTGCTGAAACATATTAATATAATATGTTATACATAACCGAATGACGGCACTTATTAACATAACAGTCCGTCGATTAGCATAAATCAACTGCTCATAAGGCTAAGATATTTCCATTTAAAAAAATGGAACCCCTAAAGGGAATAGATACAAGATGGGAGGAAACATATAAATTCCTTCAATATCTTCTGTCGCAATTATACTGTATATAAACTGCGGGCATCAGGGAACCATTATTAATATGCTGGGCATTGAAATCGCTTTTGAATGCACGCTTGTTTTTTGCTTTCACTTTAGAGATTCGCGATCACACGTAACGTTACGTATGGAGCAGCACTCTACAGTACTTACCACACATTTTACAAGATTAGATGTTTGTCAGTGCTGCTCAGGATCTGCAAATCATTCGCCATCATCCTATCGTAATCTCTCCTTACTCTGTTTATGTGGTAAGTGAAATGTTATGTACTGTATTGTAACAGGCTACCGCTAGCAAGCGGCTAACCATGTCCCTTTAGTGGCTCCGTAGAACACGTTATTTGTTTTCCGCGCCTTTCTGAACATGGTTTCATCCACACCTCTAGCCCAGTCGGGGGTGTTTGTGGTCCGCACAGAACTCTTATTTGACATCATCCCAAGTTACTGTAACCGTTATATGCCACGCAAGTCTTTTTTTATGCCACACATGTCTACAGTGTGCGCGTGAGACAATGTGTTCTTCTGTTGTCTTTGACAGCTTTTAGGTGCGTTATTGGCACCCTCTGCTTACATGATTGCATCACCACCGCATCAGCACGGAAAACATGGGGAGATTTTTAAAGACAATAATCGCACAACCTATTCGATATTCCATAATTAAATCGAATATTCGAATATCGTGACCCATCCCTACTCTAAATATCAGAATTTTTAAGTTCTGTTGTCTGCAATGTTTTCAGAAGTTTTATAAACAAAAACAATAATAATATCAAAATTTGATAATGTAATAGGAGCTACAACCAAAAAAGTGTACTAATGGTAACATGGGTAATCTGATGGTAATCTAATGGTAATCTGAAAATGTCATAGTGCATCAAAAAATATGTTTGCAACAGGGTTATGACTTTCTTTAAAATTGAATCCATGGCTTTCTTTGAAATTCAATCAATTTTACTTGTACTTTAATTGATGGAAATTCAAATTACAGTTCTGCATTCTGTTAACTACCTCAATTGAATTAATCTGGAAAATTTAATTGATTTTGAGTCAAGTCAAGTGACCTTTATTTATATATCACTTTATACAATGCAGATTGCCAAAGCAGCTTTACAGTATTAAACAGCAAAATAGTGTCGATAATATCTAGTGATGTCATCTTGCAGCTCAGTTCAGTTCAAATAGTACCTGTGCAATCAAGTTGACAATATTACTGGAGATTAAGCACACAGCTTTTGTCCTGCAATGTAATGAAGTAGGAGAATGTATTTCAACATCTAACAAAATTACACAAAATTACACTTTTAATGTCAGGTGTATATACGTATTTGCTTCCAGAAATTCCTCATTGGTGTAAAACTTAATTTTTGTTGACAAATCAATACAGTATTAGCACCTCTGAATTTTGCTATTGAAAGCTGTATAAAACACAGGAAACATGGAAGATAACTGGATTATTTGTATAAATGCATTTTGTTCTAATGCAGGCCTGTCCAAACTCGGTCCTGGAGGGCCAGTGTCCTGCAGAGTTTAGCTTCAACTTGCCTCAACACACCTGACTGGAAGTTTCTATGCCTAGTTAGGGCTTGATTAGCTGGTTCAGGTGTGTTTAATTAGGGTTGGAACTAAACTCTGCAGGACACCGGCCCTCCAGGACCGAGTTTGGACAGCTCTGTTCTCTTCACCTTCCCTCACTCAGTTCTGCTTCTCAATAATTGCACAAAGTCTAACTACACTGTCACAATCGCCTACTGTGTTGGAACGAGGAGACGAGGTGTTAAAACCAAAAAAACAGTCTTTAATATTCCAACACGGGGAACACACAGAGTAGCCAGGAGACACACACGTAGCACGGAGTTGACGTTTAATACCAGACAAGGGAGAGTGGAACAGGCTTGAACTCAAATAAGGCAGATAACGAGGGGCAGACAGGTGAGGAGGTTGAACTAATGAGACACACCTGGAAACAATGAACACACAATGGGTACAGGAACCGGAAAAAAACCAAATATGGACATGTCAACCACGAGGGAAAACACACACACAGACAGTCCATATTCGTGGCATACACATTGAGCGAACTCTTGTAGACATTTATAAATTTGCCAAAAGAGAATAATTTCTTTAAGATATCCCTAAGCTCGTAGATTTGCATAGCAGGAGAATCAGAAGATATCGGCTTCACAGTTTTTGTGGTTTAGTATTTGTCTTAACTCCCTGTTAACCGTCTGCTCAGGGGAGCTGTTTTATGGTGTGTAAACGTGGGGTCATGGCCGGGGTAAAGCCCTCAGAACTCAGCCACTCTCCAGGAGCAGGTTGTGACATTTCCAGCCCAAATGTTATTGATTTGCTGTCCTCTGTTAAACCCGCTGCCCTTTAAATGGCATTGTCTTGGAGCTCTGAACTAACAGTCACTTTCTGCCTTACCTTCCTCCAGAAGCTGTATTCAGGATCTACTGCTTTTTAAACTGTAGGATTGCTGTTACACACACATACAGGATTATAAGAGTATGATATGCCACAAAATAAGAAAAATATATACAAGTTTATTTATAATTTATTCTGTATTTGTTGAACTCATGCCATAAGTACCAGGGCATTACTACATTTACATTTACTCATTTAGCAGACGCTTTTATCCAAAGCGACTTACAAATGAGGACAATGGAAGCAATCAAAATCAACAAAAGAGCAATGATATACAAGTGCTATAACAAGTCTCAGTTAGCTTAACGCGCAGTACACGTAGCAAGGTTTTTTTTAAATAATATAGTAAATAAAAAAGAAAACAGATTGAATAGAAAAAGAATAGAGCAAGCTAGTGTTAGAGGTCTTTTTTGCTTTTGTTAATTGTATAATAAATGAAAAGAAAACAGATAGAATACAACAATATTCTATCTGAAGAAGCAAATTAATAGAGTTCATGTCTAAAAGGGACAAGTTTTTTTTTTAGAGAATAATTTTTTTTTAGAAATTCTATTTAGAATAGAGAGTGCTTTTATATATATATATATATATATATATATATATATATATATACAGGTGTATCTAAATAAATTAAAATGTCATAAAACATTTTTAGTGAATTGTTGGCCTTCTGGAAAGTATGTTCATTTACTGTACATGTACTCAATACTTGGTAGGGGCTCCTTTTGCTTTAATTACTGCCTCAATTTGGCGTGGCATGGAGGTGATCAGTTTGTGGCACTGCTGAGGTGGTATGGAAGCCCAGGTTTCTTTGACAGTGGCCTTCAGCTCATCTGCATTTTTTGGTCTCTTGTTTCTCATTTTCCTCTTGACAATAATGGGGTTCAGGTCTGGTGAGTTTGCTTTTTCTTCCAAACTTTTTCCTTCCACTCAACTGTCTGTTAACATGCTTGGATACAGCACTCTGTGAACAGCCAGCTTCTATATACAGTATCTCACAGAAGTGAATACACCCCTCACATTTTTGTAAATTTTTATTATATATTTTCTTCAGTGACAACACTGAAGAAATGACACTTTGCTACAATGTAAAGTAGTGAGTGTACAGCTTGTATAACAGTGTAAAATTGCTGTCCTCTCAAAATAACTCAACACACAGCCATTAATGTCTAAACCGCTGGCCACAAAAGTGAGTACACCCCTAAGTGAAAATGTCCAAATTGGACCCAAAGTGTCAATATTTTGTGTGGCCACCATTATTTTCCAGCACTGCCTTAACCCTCTTGGGCATGGAGTTCACCAGAGCTTCACAGGTTGCCACTGGAGTCCTCTTCCACTCCTCCATGACGACACCACGGAGCTGGTGGATGTTAGAGACCTTGAAATGCTCGATAGGGTTTAGGTCTGGAGACATACTTGGCCAATCCATCACCTTTACCCTCAGCTTCTTTAGCAAGGCAGTGGTCGTCTTGGAGGTGTGTTTGGGGTCGTTATCATGTTGGAATACTGCCCTGCAACCCAGTCTCCGAAGGGAGGGGATCATGCTCTGCTTCAGTATGTCACAGTACATGTTGGCATTCATGGTTCCCTCAATGAACTGCAGCTCCCCAGTGCCGGCAGCACTCATGCAGCCCCAGACCATGACAATCCCACCACCATGCTTGACTGTAGGCAAGACACAACTTGTCTTTGTACTCCTCACCACACACGCTTGACACCATCTGAACCAAATAAGTTTATATTGGTCTCATCAGACCACAGGACATGGTTCCAGTAATCCATGTCCTTAGCAAATAGCAAATACTGTAAAGAGCGCCATTTCCTGAGAAAGGCTCATAAACATTCAATATTCTTTTGAATTGAAAAGTAATAGCTTCAATTATGTTATATTCTGTTCTGTTCCATTCTATATAACTGTCTAAAATTGAATGTGTATACAACAATATCTCAATTTTCAGTACAATTCAAAATTCACCTTCTGTATTTGTAAACCTTGACATTTGCTCTGAGCTGGTCTCTACTTTCTCTACTTCATACTTATACATATTGTTATTTGCACTTCTGGTTAATAAATGTGCATGTAAACACACTCATTCACATATGCCTTTTGAGCTTGTCCTTAAATGTGTATTTGTATATTTACTAAAGGGTCTCTCTTTTTTGCTCAGGGTATGTCGGTGGCAAGCGGTCCATGTGTGGAGACCCGTCCTAGCACTCTGGGTCAGTCTCAGTCTGTGATGAACATCTCCAAGATGTCCCCAAAAGTGGAATTAAAGAAACGCAGAGCTCCAGCACCTCCAACAGCTCCCACACAGACTTTACCACTGACATCACAGGTTTGAACAATCACACACACACATACCATTATGATCATTGGCTAATATTCACATACTCTGGCTAATATTTCATTGGAATAACTAATTTTAAGCCACTGATTGCATAAAAGCACTTGTGCATTGTACAAACCTATGAACGTATTCTTTGCTCTGTTAATATTGTAACTTACAGGGAAGTAAAACTTTTCATACTGAAACAAATACACACTTTAATTGATTGCTATGAATGCAAAGCCACATTGAATTTGAACCCCATAAACCGAGCCAACCAGCACCAAGATCACAACATTACGAATTTTGATTTGAAGGGAAAAACATAAAAATTTTAAAACTGGAAAAATGTGTACTTAATGTAATTTTAATTAAATGAATCACATCAACAATGAGTACAAAAGCGGTGAGTAGCTCTGGAAGAGGTGCATCATTGAAAGTTTGGGAATCCATGACATAATCAAATAAAAAATGGCAGTACAATGTTAAAGTTCTGACCTGTAGTTATTAAGTACAAGTAAGCAAAATATTCAGATTTGTATAAATAAGTAGTTTGAGTGTGTAGGGAGATCAAATCTGTAGAAAAGCTCACTTCACATTCACTAAAACTCAGTTTATGTGTAAGAAAATCAATGAGATGTTGAGTTATTTTCAAAAAAAATTTCATACATAGTTTCGTACATGTTTTCATACATAGGCAAATTATTAAAGACATAAGCATGCTGAAGTTACAGCTCCCAAAAGTTATTTACAAAACAGCACAACATTTTGACCAGACAGGTCTTTATCAGGCACAATCTGACTGATGAAGTAATGACTGGTTGAAACTGCACTTTTTGTAAATAAACTTTTCAGAGCTGTGATTTCAGTTTCAGTGTCTTCTTTCTTTGTTTTGTTGTCCTGCACCTGGGCCCATTATGGGTTTTGGATGTGCACAGGTATTTTCCCTGTTGAAAAAAACAGCATATGCTGGATAGGTATGTTTTGAAGAATGGCTGCTGGTTTGAGCTGGTCCTTAGCTGGTTGTGTGCTGGTTTAAGCTGGTCATGTGCAGGTCCTAAGCAACTAGCTCCTGCTCAGGACCAGCTTAGGACCAGCAGATGACCAGCACTTGACCAGCTTAAACCAGCTTATGACCAGCTAAGGACTAGCTGAAACCAGCAGCCATGCTTCAAAACATACCTAAACAGCATATGCTTTTTTTTCAACAAGGTTATATGTTCATAATCATAAACATGCTTCCAATATGACTATGATTCCCCTTCAGGAACTCAAGCTGCATCAAAACGCTTTGGGAACGCCTCTGCGTGACCGTGTTCTTAAGCGTGTGTGAAATCAGTCCAATAGAGCAGCGAGACATCACGAGCGGGGTGACATGAGCAACCAGGAAGCATAAAAGCACATCCGGCAAAGCGCATGTTAGCTTTTGCTCTTCAGCGATCACGTTTGGTTTGTGTCTGTTTGCAAAGCACTATCAGTCATGCAGCATTACTCTGTTAGAAAGTTATCGATATGTCAAAGTGTAAATCCAAATCAAAATCTGTGGCGAGCAAACAACATTTCAGACACTGTGTTCCTCCTTGCCCATGATATCTTGCAGGTGGGGATACACACGATCTGTGTGTCGTTTGTTTGGGAGCAGAGCATGCGCGATCAGCTCTCTAGGGAGCTTATTGTCAGAACTGTGAACTGCTCTCGCTGCGTGTCAATGGCCGCCTGGCTGTTTTTGATGAGAGCGGTCAGGCTCGCGAACCCTGCTGGCACCAGTCCCACTGCTGCCGAGGCACAGCGGAGGAATCCGAGACGGGCTCGTCCTTATCTCAGTCCTCTCCCACTAGATCCACGGCTCCCTCTCAGGGATCGGAAGCCTGCTCCGCAGTTTCTTCCCCCCGGAGAGAGAGCCAGACGCTTCATCTATCTTCATTCGAGGAGGTTGATATGATGAGCGTCAACTCTGAGGAGACTGTGGACTCGCCACCACAGTCCCTCGCATATGAGGAGCTTGTGGAGGTTGTGACTCGTGATGTAGCCAAGTTGAACATCAATTGGCCAGCCGAGAAGCAGGGCCTTCCATTTTTCCTCAATCTCCATACCGGGGTGTCGAGATTGTGGGATAAACCATACTCATCCCGTATTTACAGCCCCACAGTCACAAACTACTCTAACATCGTGGGGCTGAATGAGAAGAAATATGGGGCGATGCCAGCGGTAGAGCAGTTATCTAACCAGTTAGGCTGACATCCGGTCTGGCAGGGAAAGCTTATACAGGCATACCAGGCTGACCTGCTAAAGGACCTGGATGAGAAAAAGGAAGGGAAATCTGACGTGGTTGCTGAACTGCATTGGGCAACAGATTTGTTCCTCCGGGCCACCAAGGAAACGGCCAGAGCCATCGGTCATTCAATGGCAGCACTGGTGGCCACGGAGCGGCATCTGTGGTTGATTCTGTCCTAAATGCAAGACAAGGACAGATTCGTCCTGCTGGATTCCCCACTCTCATCTTCTGGCCTCATTCCAGTGCTTCCTCCCTCGCCGTTCCCAGGTCCAGCCGTCTAGGGCCTCATACCACCAGACCCAGACCACAGAGCTTTGCAACCTGTACCCCCCCACCCTCCACCCCAGCAGGGGTCGGGGCAACACTCTCAGTATGGGTCTTCTAGACCGAAAGCGGATCTGCGGACCGTTATTCTGTCGAAGACCTCGACCAAGCAGTCCTGATGCCACGAGCGTCAGGGCCCTGAGGGCAGCCCCCCCAGGGGAGGAAAGGAATACACCTCAGGACATGGTGCCCGATCCTCCTCAGTGCCCTCTGGGAGCCACTCTGTCAACCTTGGTGTTTGAGGGCTCAGTGGGCTCCAATGAGCGAACTTCTCTTTTGGCCTGCTGTACATGAGACCTTTGCAGTGGTGGCTCATGACCAAGGGGTTCTCCCTGAGGGGAAATCCACTTTGCATGATCAAGGTCACACGGCGATGCTTAAAGGGTTCCTATTATGCTCTTTTACAAAGTCTTGATTTTGTTTTGGGGGTGTACTAGAACATGCTCTCGTGCTTGGTGGTTCGAAAAACGCATTATTTTTCACATAATTTACATTATTAAAATACCTTTCTCCCCAGGCTGGCACAAACGGCTCAATTAGTTCCGGCTTTGATGAAGGTCCGCCTTCCGAAAAACAAAATATGTTGTGATTGGTTAGCTGTCCCAGTGCGTTGTGATTGGCAAACAGCTTAGACGGTGTTTCAGTACTGCCACGCCCCCTTGCTCCGTCTTTCAACAAAAGCTTTTGGCGAATCCGCCACCTCTAACTCGTGATGTGGAAGCTGTCCTCAGTAAAATGCGCAGCACACAATAGCAAATTGGGGTTATAATGCTCAGGAACAGAGTTAAAAAGTAAATTGCAACCACTGTTTCCTGACATCATCCGCTTTCGGAAGTGAAAAAAAAAACAGCGTTTCAGGTGGTCGCACACCGGACGAGAAGTGCAGCGTCGCGTCACGGCTTTAAAATTCGAACACATTATTTTCTATGAGTGTAGGCACACCGGCGGCGCCGTTCGGTGTCTGTCCGCGGCACCCAGCTATGTCGTGTTGTACTTGTAAGAATTGTTCTAGACCAGCGGTTCTCAATCCCAGTCCTCGCGTACCCCCCCTGCATGTTTTGCATGTCTCTCTTTGTTAACACACCTGATTCAGATCATCTCGTTAGAAGTGAGCTACATGCATGAACTGTGTTCCGATTGACATGGTATCCCTACACAGTGTCCATTGCTCCCTACTCCCTGAGCAGGGGAAATCCGTTGAAGTTTACTTCACTTCGGAATATTCATTTACAGATTTGCGCTGCGCCGCTGCCTGCAGCGTCTTCACACACATACGAAACTTACTAGAGAAGCGTGAAGTGGGACATAATATACCTCTGTAAATAAATACAATTTAAATTCACGTCTCGCACACTTAAATGCCCTTTGTATGCAACATATACACTCCCTTCAAACTGGAATCATGGCGTAATGTCCACTTCGCAGGGCACTTCTCTGGTGAGATGTCGGTCTGCAAACCTATGGCTACTGATTCGTAACTCTTAAAGTTCTAGCCCTAGTGAAAAAATAGTATACTTAAGTACAATTTATTTATACAAATATATTTGTGGCACACTATAAATTGGTATACTTAAAGTCTGCTAAATTGGAACAACTGATTTTGTACTAAATGCATTTTAGTTGTGCAAAAGTAGTGCTGAAGTTCAACTAAAGTTGTATTAAATATACTTGTTTGTGCTAAAGTGGAACTATTCCAAGTATACTTAAGTACACTTTAAATATCCACTCTTTTACTTAATTTTTAAGTGCAGAATTCTTTCAGCATAAAATGTATTTGGGTGACATTACAATTGCAATTCAATTACACTGTAAGAGTAACATACATTAATATCATACTAATAACAAACTGAGGTCATACTATCCCTTACTTTTTGTGACTTTAAAATGCATTGCAATGGCATTCCAAGTAAATTTGAAGTGTGCTAATGGAACAATTATTGTGTGCTTCTAATGCAATAAATTAACCTTTATAAATAATGGCACAGCTTAAGAAATTGCCTTTTACTAACACCCCCACCATACCAATCAACTCAATTATCCAGAGAACATCAGTGGAACATTGGACACAGACATTTGAACATTGGCTGAAGGAAACACTGCGGACTGGATTCGAACCCGGGTCGCTGCCACACACATGCACTCGCTTTACCATATGCGTCACCAAAGCAGACATGTGCGGTGATAAACTGTGGTTACTTTGTAGTCTGTCTTTACTGTTACAAATACTACTTTAAGGAAACAGTTTTTTCCATCAATGACTGCACAAATTAGGCTATATGTACTTAAAGACTGTGAATCACTGGAAAATCTTAATATAGGCACAGTAAGCAGTGCGTGGAAATAAACGTGAAACGGCCTGTATAAAACACGAAAGTGCATTCAACTTGAAGCTGTTAAAGTCAGTGGACAC